ACAAACACCTGCTTGATTATTTGCTTGTCCAAACGCACATGGCCTGGGATCCATGATGTCCACAGAGGCAAGCATTGGGGAGGAGACTTGCCAAGCTGCTCATTCTCGATAAGCTGGCATAGGCGAATATATGCACGCAGATGCTGAAGTGGATTTGCCTTGGCACCATAGTATCGGCTGCCTTTGGCGAATCTGTACTTGGCATCATAGGCATTAAGGACTGGTGCCAGCTTGTTGTAGATTGCAAGCATCGGTGGGGTGAGCACACTGAGATCAGGGTGCCTAGAAGCAACTGCCTGGCGGAGCTTCTGTGCAGGTGTATAAATACACACTTGACATGCGTTATTGAACTCAGCCTTGGACACATTGCCCATTGTACTGTGCAGTGTGTTTTTGCGGCTGCGAATATCAATCAATTTGGCCAGAATCCGCTGTAGGCAAGTGCCATAGTGCAACACAATGTTGTTCTTGTATGCTGTCATCAGCTCGGTATCCACGTATGTTGCTACTTGATTCATTTCACGTACACCATGTAGCTCGATATCGCCATTATGCAATAGATAATCATAAATATGGTATCTAACTACATCACCGAAATCTGCGCTCAACAGTTCTGACTTGTCCTTCCGGTTGACGAAATCCTTGGCAGATATGACAGTCTTCGCCTTCAGGTTACGATAAATGAATAAATAAATAAAACGAAAAAACCCTTTTTCACAAATGTTGCAGGGTCAAAGGCATCATCGTCAGCTAGCTGATGGAGTAATATCCATCGTGCAAGCATGTATGTATGCTCTTGGATGATATTGACGCTGTATACAAATCGCTCTAGGCAGGGCAACATAGAATCACAGAAGCCAATACCACCAAGTGATGTCTTTATGACAGTAGTGCTGCGGGTAATATTCATTTGAGAAATTTGGTAGGCAAAGTAAGAAGAGAAATGATTCTGTTCAGTTTTGCTTTATTGGGTATGCATAGCATTAAGAACGTTTTTATTAAAAATGATCTGGCTTGCATGGTTCTTGGGGCCCTTAGCATTGATACAGTCTCTTGAATCAGTCTATACAGACTGGGTCCATTGTGGCTCAAATACTACTGCTTACGCATGTTCATAAGACAAATTAATTTGTAAAATAAACCCACAAATATTGCATGACCGCTAGAAGAGCTATATGGCCTTATTCAATAGATGCTCATAAATAAACATCCTAAGAGTGTTGCGCAGCTGGTGATGACTACCATGATGATGCCATGGAAGTTATCAGGCCGACCGACAATGAGAGCAGCTCTTGTGCTGAACCAATGGAGATATCTAGTGGAGACCTGTGACCACTACAATACCAGCTTGTCACCCTGGTTTCACCGATGAGGTCAGATGCCACACAAGATCAAAGGGAGTTTACAGAGCAAGTCACTCAAACCCGTGTTGAAGCTTAAGAGTTTTTTTAACCAATTAAATAATTTCTAGCGGATAGTCGGACACTTTTTTTGACTATAAAATCTTATATAAAGGTAAAGATGATTTAATTCTGAAACACAAAAGTTATCATTCACTATTTTATCCACTTTTAAAGCTGTTGTCATTATTATTGATCATTTGTCTATTTACCACTATAATATATACTTGTAAATGCTATAGTGTATTATTCAAATATTTACTCTTACTATGATTCCTCTAATAAAAAATGAATACTATAGCAGGAGCTAGTAGTGGAACATGTCAATAATTTTGAGTGTAATTAAAGTAATTACCCAAATACTGCATTCCTTAGACTACTTTATCAATGAAATCGACAAGGGTACTGGCATTTTCCTTCATGCAGCTATAAAAATAGGGACAAATGGAAGTGATTAGTTAACTTAATGGTGCTTCATACTGATTTGATAGTGAGGAGTCTATGAGAACTGAAAAATGCATATGAGATTATTTTAATTACTATAAGGAAGTGAGGGTATATAGAACTAGGCTAAATAAGTTATTCTAGTCAATTGTGGGCAATATCAGGTGTCTGGATAGCCTAGCAACTAAGGGTCATAAACTTCTGGACCAGAGCCCACAAATGCAGCAGATTAAGGACATGCAGAGCAGGTCTTTTAGGGGCTGCATCTAGATCTCAAAAGTTTATCATCCATACTAGTTGTATAGTCCATCATCTACAAGTTCAGGAAACTTATCAGACATGTCCTCTGTCCCAATAACTGATCAGAAATCCCTTGTATGGCAGCAGAAGGAGCTATCCTCATAGCCATCGCCAGTGTAGTATGTAATGATCACTCAGAGTGGCATCATCTGTTGGCATAAGCAATTTGTAATGAATAAAACTCATCATCACCTATATATGCACCAGATACTGGCATATTCTTTACTGCAAGGTTTTGATTTTGAGAAGAAAATCATTACATGTCAAGGCTCTACCAGCCCTAGGATGTCCAAGTATAAAAATTTGTGCACTTGCAGGCTGGCCAGTTTCCTTTGTCTTCCCTATAACTCCTTCGAATTATATTTTCTACCTCTTTTTCTACAGAATAGCAAAAGGCGAGGGCCAGAAGCACATGCACATGCACACACATATGCACATGCATATGCACAAACTTTACCCACTTATCCATCATCACCACTTCCCCAGCGCATACTAGAGTTGCTAAGAGCAGCTCCTCTGTTTGGCACACCACCACTGTTAGCATCTGTGCAGCTACCAACAGCATGTTCAATGAAGTCAAAGGCCTCACTGATACTTTTTCTCCTTACAAGTGTTAAGGGGGTATAAGCACAGAAATGTAGTTTAGGCTGAAGAAGATAGTAAAGTGATGCATTAGAGGAGGAGGTGAGAGAGATGAAAATATAAGGTAGAGGAAAGAGGAATTCCTAAGGAGTCAAGAGGTGTTGCTTGATAACTAATGCAAAGAAGAATGAGGGAAAAGATAATAGAGAATCCTCTACCAAAGAGTTGATATTTCTAACACAAGCATCAAACCCAGCAAGCTGTCACTCAGGCTCCCAACATGCAGCCTACCAGCACAGCTATTACTACTGTGTTGGAAGGTCACAAGTTTCAATGAGTGGTTTGGACTGAGTCAGCCAGAAAAATAGAAAGTGAAGAGAGATACCCCAAACGAGGATCAGGGTGATGGTTGTGATAGCACATGGATCCGATGAGAAAAGGAAAGATTGTAGAAACCCAGAGAACCACAGATTCTGACACACCAGAAGCCCTAATATGGATCAATAGCCTCTGGCAAGAAATATCAGTATATAGCCACCTCCCAAGCTATCTACCTCCTCCATTCTCCTTGATGTCCCAATAATATAGTTTCAAGCATGCGAAAGACTGTGGCTGATCTAGTCTCCCTTGGTCATGTCATATTCTTTCTGTCTTTGCTTTGCTCCTAGTTTTAATATATTTCTCCTAGGTCAGCAGAATGTTTGCAAATGGCCTCAGCCCTAGTTGCAGGCTAACGCCCAGGAGCAGAAGTATATGATTGACGCTTGTTTCAACGATGGCTGCTACTATATGCCTTGCAAACCTTTACCACATGTATCTGCTTATCATTTTGCATATTTTCAATCACTTATTACACATGCTTTCGTTCAGCAAGACCCTCTCGGCAATTCATACCGAAGAGTAAGCTATCGTATATGCCCGCTGATATCTGATTGACAACACCAGTAACTACAGCAGTGTAGCAGCTGCGGGATGCACAGGGGATCAAGAAAAATGGATATAAAGCATATATGAAGTGTAAAATCGCAGGTCAAAAAGAAAAAGAAAAATATCGTACAAAAATACCCCCTACATCCTATTACAGGAAGGGGATGCATCAGTGCATACCAGGGTACTCCGAATGGTCCTTGGCATTAAGTTCACTAAACGGCACCCCCAGCTCACACGTCAGGTTCTCCCCTTCGCCTTTGCAGAACTTGATATTCTCATCCCCTTCGTACCAGACTTCCTGGCCATGATGCTGGAACCCAAGGTCCATCGGGGGCATCCGCGGCACAATATCATGCCGATAGACCACGCGAAACACCGGGTGGCCCAGGTTCTCCACATACTCAGCAAATGCCTGATTGCCGGTGCGCGGCTGGCCGTATGTAAACATTTGCATCTTGATGCCCCTATGGCGCTGCGCTGTGTCCACCATGGATATGCAGGCTAGGGCGCCGCCTAAGGAATGGCCAGTGAATGAGATGGTGGCATCGGGGCATTTCGCCAGCAAGGAGTCCACGGCCTCCTGGACTTGCTGCATAGACACCAGATAGGCGTTCAGGAACCCCTCGTGGACGAGACTATTGGAGATGTTGGCTGGCCAGGCGGTTTTATCGAAATTCAGGTTGGTCAGCCAGTCAATCAGTGAGTCGGTGCCACGGTAGGCCACGATGATCTCCTTGCATGGCTCATTAAATGCAATGTAGCCGGAGCTGCCCTTCAGCGTGTGGTCGAAAGAACTGATCAGCGTGGTGTCTTTGGGCACAGTGCGGCTTGCAGGCCAGGCATCGGTGGTCTGGTAGGCGAGGCCGGCGTAGGTAGCGTATTTGACCAGGTCGGCGTGGGAGGCGGTATATGCATCCTGCGGGTTGCCCATGCCGATGAGCTGGGAGATGGCGTCCATTAGTGCGCTGGCCAGGGGGCCGAGCGTATCGAGAATCGCTGATTGTACCATGTTTATAAAAAGTGAGATTTGTGAAAAAGGTTGGTCTAAGAGGGGTAGTAGCCAGTTTGCCTGGTCTTTATATACATTAGCCCAAAGGGCCTGATTTCTCTGCTTGTTTTCTATTCTGACAACTATTGCCATGGGACCTGTTAGCATTAGTTAGCATTATTTCTAGACGCATGTTCGCTCTTGGTGTCCTCGACTGTTTTTTGATTTTTCTATCTCCACATGCAAGCAGTCAATGATCTGCGGCTGGCTGTCTGGGCATTGATTTCTTGGTCATACACGCCATTTTTTGCCAAGAATAGACATACGCACTCACTCATAAAGGGGAGATCAGGAAGAGAAATCAACGTATGCTCTGATTGGAGCCCCAAACATTGCAAGAAATCACACACCATTTCCACCACCAAAAAGGTAGTACTATGTGTTTACAATAATCAACCAAGGCCGCCAGGTTGAGCTAGCAGCAGCAAGAAATAATGAGAAAAAGAAGAAGCAAGTCTATATTCCAACACAAGGCGGGCCATGCTTACGACGCCTGTGGGGCCGACGGCACAGCCAGCTCCGTAATTAGCCTGCAGCACACGTCAAAGAACGGGAACGCATTGACCACGCGCTCCTGCGCCAATCTACTTGCGCCATTGCCGGCGCCGACGCCATCGGCGGTCAGCGACACGTCTGTGCGTGCCAATGACACGCGGCCGACGACGCTGCCGGGCATGTAGCTGCCGGGCGCCTTCCCCTGGCTACGCGGCGTGCCGCCCAGGAACTGGCCAGAGCTCTGTGATTCGGCCAGATTGCGTCTTTGGTTGATGTCGATTGCGCGCACCGGCGACTTTGCCAGCGAGCCGGGGATCGGAATACCACCCGAAGCCTCTATACTCTCGCTGGACTCTTCAAAGCCCGCTGCAGACGACATCGGCGAGCCGCCGCCCAACCGCCGCTGCATGGTGCGTGCTGGTAATGTGTCGGGCTCCGGCAGCATGTCTGAGCGGTCGTGGCCGGCTGGCAGCGATGGCGCGGGCACCTCAGCTGGAATCTGGATAGGGTAGTCCGAGTCCAGGAACTGGTCGTCGAGCGACCGCGGCTCGGCCTGCTCGGCACCCATCATCATGGCGACGTCGTCCAATACCGCCGAAACGGGCCGTGCAGCCGATGACATCCGCCGGCGGGCTGCCTGGATGAACGGTGGTGGCGGAGCTATCAGCGTGTTCTCACCTGCACGGTATGTCGGGATGGTGCCCGAGTCGCTGGCGCCCAAGTCAGCCGTGGACTTGGGGGTCGGGATAACAGCCTTGAAGTCGACCAGGTAGTTGTCACGCGAGTCGAGCTTGTACAGCTGCAGGTCGATCTTGACCTGGCGGCCCTGCGCGTCGATATACATGGCACGCAGATGGTAGGGGTTAAAGTGCTTCCACTTCATGCCCAGCTGCAGCAGCGCCCGGTAGACCTCAGCCATGACGTCGGCAGGCGGCGACCGCGACCGGATGCCGAAATGCCAGCGTGTACGCGTCAGCTTCGCCCGCTTGCGCATCACCGTGGGCTTACGCGCCGCCGGCGTCTCATCGCTGGAGCGAGCCAGCGGGCTCGGCACATTGACCGAGTGCGGCGGCACCACCGATCCTGCCGGGCTGCCGTCGGTGCTGCTGTTCTCGCTGCTGTTGCCCGACCGGTGCGCGTACGGGCTCAGGTGGCTCTGCGATGCCGTGCGCACCGATGCATGCGCCAGGCTCGCTACCGACGAGTTTGACTGCCCCGCCACGCCATTCGCACCTGGCAGTGGCGGCAACTGCGCGCGGAAATAGTTCGATGGCGTCCGTGACGGCACCGCTGAGCCCGTCGTCCCTAGCGCCTGCTGGGCAACTGCTGCTGCACCCGACGATGGTCCGGCGCGACGCAGAGTCGTGAGCGGGCGCCAGTGGCGACGACACGCGCGGGGCTGGGACGGCGTTGGGGCCGCGCAGACGCATCTTGTACATTTGCGATTCGAGCGTGTGGCCAGCGGAGCGCGGCAGGCTGGAGCCCAGAATGGCGATGCTCGACGGCGTACCGTCGTCATCGTCGTTGGAGTTGTTTGCCAGCGGCGATGATGATGCAGTGCCGGTGCTATCGCGTAGGTCGATGGCGGCGTTGAAGGCGGCGGGTGGCGATGATGCCAGCGCAAAGTTGCGGATCCCCTGGGTGTTCGAGTGCCGGCTCTGCTCAAGCATGTGGCGATTATCCAGAGTCAGCTGATACGCGACTTTAGCTGGGTTGGTGCCGCGCTGCCGCAGCTGCTTGACCAGCGACATGCGTGTCATCTCGAGCTGCTTCTCGAGCTCACCCAGAATCGACTCGTCCAGGCGTGCCAGCGACTCAATGTCAGTGCTCTCGGGCAGCGGCTTCAGGTACTCGGGCAGGTCAGTGATGAACCATGGCTGCTGGCGCACCTGCGACAGCGACATGCGCTTGAGCGGGTCGACCTGCAGGAGTCCCGACAGAACCTGCTTGGCGCCCGGTGACAGGAAGCCAGGCATGGTAAAGATGCCGGATGTGATCTTTTTGAACAGCGCCGGAATGTGGTCGTCGTCGAATGGCAGGCGGCCGCACAGCATCACATACAGAATCACTCCGCACGACCACGCGTCGACCTCAGGGCCCGCGTACAGCTTGCCGTTGATGACCTCGGGAGCCGCGTAGTTGGGTGACCCGCACGACGTCTGCAGGAACTCGCCGTCCTTCATGATATTGGACAAGCCAAAATCAGCCACTTTGACGTTATTGTATGGATCCAGAAGCACATTCTCGGGCTTCAAGTCGCGGTGCACAATGTTGCGGCGATGGCAGTACTCGACGGCCGAGACGATCTGCTGGAAGAAGCGCCGCGCGTCCTTCTCAGCCATGCGCCCGCGCTCGACAATGTAGTTGAAGAGCTCGCCGCCAGCATACTCGATGACCATGATGATGTCGGTGGGCGTGGTGATGACCTCGTACAGCTTGATGATGTGCGGATGCCGCAACATCTTCAGGTACTGGATCTCGCGGTTGACCCGCCCGATCATGTCCGAGTGCGCCAGCTTGCTGCGCCCAATGATCTTTTAGCGCCACCTTGTGACCTGTCTGCGAGTGCACGGCCACTATACACCAGCATATGGAAGCAGAGGAGGGAAAAAAGGTGAGGGTGGAGGATTGAGAAGATACCAAAAATGTGTTGGGGGAGGGCAGTTTGAGGTTTGTATTGTACTTACGCTTGACCTTGCCAAAGGACCCGACGCCGAGGGTCTGCAGCACGGTGTAGTTGCCAATCTTCTGCTTTCCGGACATCGTGTTGTGTTGGTGGCTCTTGTCTTTGGAGCTGCTTCCGTCTCGGCCCAAGGAGAACCGTCTCAGAACCTTCTTAGGGCTTAGTGCGTGAATTGTTGCAGGCTTGCTGTTTGTAGGGACTGAATATGCAGGCAGGTTGTTCTGCTGGTATATTCCAAAAAAGTATCGCTTTTACCACAGAGTGGTTATGAAATAAAACTGAGGAATAAGAGTGAAATAATTACACGAGCGAAAAAATTGAGAGGAGAGCAGGAGGAGCTCATGCCAGGGGCGGGTGGACTGAACGTCGTCAGCATGAAAAAAAAAATCGGAGCATGTGTTTGCAATCACGTGTGCCAATCAAATTGTGGCACCTATCCTTCCCGCACCGGTCAGCTGGTGGTGGTGTACCGTCGCATTCGCAGCGGGGCATCGAGCAGCGAGCCGTAGATGACGAATCCACAAGTATCGGCATCACCTGCGTCATGTGGGCCGACGATCTTGGAGTCATGGGCAAGATCACGATCATCGACGAGGATCAGCTCCTGGGCCAGCTCGCCCACCGGCTCGATGCGGTCCACGGTGGACTTGCGAGGCCCGGGGCTGGTCGGCGGCGACCTGCATGCCAGCCTTACCTGCTCCATGCCCTCCAGCGCAATCTCGCCCACGGGCCTGCCCATCCACTCACGCACTCTGACTTGCTCGTGCCAAGGCGCCGGTGCAATGCGTGTCCGGTCCGGCAGCTCATCGAGCCACGGCTCGTGCCGTGTAAACGCACGCACCACCAGGTTGAACGAGCAGTGGGCGTCAATCAGCGGCATGTGGCCGGCGCCCTCGAGCCACACCAGCGGGCAGCCCAGCAGCTTCGCCAATGTGCGGCCGCAGACCGGCCGGATCACACGATCCTTCCGCCCGTGGATCACCAGGAAGCGCGTCGTTGGGTTCTGCGTCTGAATGCGGCGCACGCGCGCGGGCGTCAGCCGGTGGCCCAGGCAGGCCATGAACTGGTGCAGGTCGCCCGAGGTCTCGCGCTTCTGGTCGGTGCCTGGGGTGCTCTGCGTGCCATGCCGGGTCATCTGCACTGTGCCGATTATCGGTGAGGACTGCGTATGCGGGAATCTGGGCGGCTCTGGCGACTCGGTGCTGACCGATGTAGTGGCATGAGCGGTTTTGGGCGGCGAGGCTGTGCGGTACTCGGCCAAGTCGGACTCGATGCGTGCAAACAGCGTCCGCAGCATCTGGCGGTTTGTTAGATCGCAGCCCACAGCCTCTGAGCCGATCGGATCGCGGAACGGCGCCTGCGCCCAGTCGCGCGAAAACACCAGGTCGATCAGATGGCCGGGGTCGCTGCCCAGTGCCGCCATGCCATTGAATGCAAATTTGACTTCCTTGGCCGTCGGCAGCGCCATCGATGCGCTATGCCACGTATCCACCAGCGCCACCGACGCATACCGGTCTTCCCGGTCATTCATCAGACACAGCTCCTGTGCAATCATGCCGCCCATCGACACGCCCACCAAATGCACATTATCATGCCACCCCAGATGCTCCATCACCTGCATTGCGTCCCGGGCCATCTGCGTGATCCGGTACGGCCCACTGGCCAGTGTGGTGCGCCCGCTGCCGCGGTTGTCGAACACACACACAGTGTAGTCGCCCAGGTGCGCAAAATACCGGGTCTGCAGCCGCCAGAACATGGTGCTGCCCAGCATGCCCATCAGCAACAGCAGCCGCCTAGGCCCACTCCCAAACACCTCATAGTATACCTGGCACTCCTCGCGCCGCTTCGGCCCGACGCCCAGCCGCCGCCGCATCTGCGACACATCCACCAGTCCGCAGTCCACGCGGTCCGGCAGGTCCATCAGCCCGTCTATCATTCCCTGCACTGCCAGCGTCTCTGTCGGCAGTGGCGGTGGCAAGCGGCGCTTCTCGGCCATTGCCACTGCCAGCGCACCTTGCTCCGACCACTGCTCCTCGCGAGTGGTGTCCGGCGACATCGACGACTCGGTGCTGCTTGCAGTCACTGGTATAGGTGTCACTGGCTGTGACGCTGTGGTGAGCTTGGTGTGCGGCGAGCTTGGCATTGACTGCGCACCCAGATGCTTCAAGGGCATTAGTGCCCGCCGCAGTCCGTGCGCCATCGAGTGCGATAGCCGCTGCACCGGCGACCCGTGGCTACTGCTGACCTCGCTGCTCGCGTGGTTGAGCCGTGGAACCGGAAATGCGCCAAGACTTTCTGCCGATCGCTCTTTTGAAGAATCCATGCTGGGCGTTTCTATCATGTAATACAAGTTTTCCGAGCTGGAAGGCGTCCCCCTCAGTCGATGGTATGTGAATTAATTAAAACCTATATTAAAGAGGGTGGAGATGGAACAAGAAAGAAAAGAATTTACAACCTGAGGAGAAGAAGGGCGTGTTTTGGTGGTATTTTTTCCGCCAGCCTGTCTTGCACAACTGACTTTCACACTCGCTGGCATCGCAAAGCCAGAAGCTGACTGCGAGAATCCTTGATTTTTCCCCTCTGCTCGGTATTGGGGGGGGGGGATCGAACCTGGCCTCTGCCGGCATGCATTCCAGGTTCTGCGAGTCGTTTTGCGAGGTTTCCGGACAAGGCAAAACACAAAAACATAAAGCCTCCTCTTCACATCCATTATGCCAATGCCAGACACATTGCAATATGCACTGCTGCTGCCACCACCGCTGCTATACCACTTGCCGGCCCCGCCGCAGCCGCCGACGTCAGCGACTCGCTTGCCACCGCCAGCACCGTCGACCCCTCCGATGCCTCAGCCATCAGCGTCGCATTCGGGTGCACCGTGGTTGAATTCACAACCAAGATCTTGTCCCTCTCCAGCCCCGCATTCTGGGCAATCCAGTCAGCATAATACGCCGCATACGTATAGAACCCGGCGCCACCTTCGGTCCCGCACATGTTGCCGCCACTACTCGCCTTGCCCTCCTCGCCATACGATGTCACGCCCACCAGCCCCCAGTCGCCTGCGTCATTATACTGACCCATCAGCGGCCCGCCGCTATCGGCATTGCACGTGTCGCGGCCCACGGTTCCGTCCGTGCACATCTGGGTGTCTTGCTTCCAGTGGGGATTCAAGCTCTTGCAGTGCGTCACATTGCCCAGCCGTAGCTCCACCGCCATCAGCTGCGTGGCCAAAGAGCCCTTCTGGTTCGTCGTCTGCCCGTACCCGGTCGCCACCAGCCGCGCTCCCCAGTCATAGCCCTTGATGATTTTCATCGGCGTGCTAACGTTGGCGGGCACCGACGAGTTCAGCAGTATCAGCCCAATGTCATTCGATACTATGTCGGCAGAATACGATGGATGTGCAATGGTCTTGTTCACAAAATACGGGTGCGTCAGATTGAACCCCTCGCTGCTCAGCTGCCCCACACCCACTGTGAACTGCTCCGGCTCGTAGTTGTCGCCCAGAAGGCTCTGCACACAGTGCGCAGCCGTCAGAACTGCGCGCGGCGATATCAGCGTGCCCCCGCATACTGTCGTCTGCTTGGCCGATGTCGCTACCAGCACAAGTGCTGTAGCGTTATACTGGCCGGGAAGTGCCGCCTGCCCGCCCAGGATCCGCGGCCCGTTCAATGCTAGTGTGAGTGGGAGAGCGAGGGCTAATAGTATGGACAGTGTATGCATAACAGAATAAGTAAATAAATACTCGGCAGAGGTAAACAAAGAGAGGGAGATTGTCCCAGTATGTGTGCACCATGCCTCGCATCTATTTTTGCCCAGCTGAGGAACTTGGCAAAGAGATCTCATCAGTCCACGATCAAATCAACCAGATCAGCACATGCCGTGGGGCGTGTCACAGCACGTGATACATCATTTGGAAGTCACTTTCTCCAAATTTCACGCATGAAAAAGCGTTGG